TCTTAGGTTTGGGCTTGACTAAGGTCGTATCAAGCCCAGTTCAAATCCTAAACCTAACTCAAGTCTGACCCAACCAAGACCTGACCTAAACCCTAAACTTAGCTCATGTATGACCCAACCCAGACCTAACTCAAACCCTAAACCCAAGCTAGACTTGACCCAAACCCTAAACCTCACCCAGGTCTGGCCTAAACCCAAACCAAATGCCAAACCCTAAACTATCTTAGGCATAACCCAAACTAGGTCTAACCCAAAATTAACCTTAGACCTAACTCAGCCTAAGTCTAACACTAACCTAACATAGACCTAACCCAACTTTGGTTTAACCCAGCTCAACCCTGGTTAACCCTGCTTAAACCGAGTGAAACCCAAATCAAACCTAAGCTAACCCGGCCCAAATCAAACCAAAGCTAACCCAAATTAACCTAGTTTAACCCGAGTCAAGCTAAAATCAGACCTAAACCAACCCAGATCAATTCAGCTTAACCCGGGTCCAATCCAAACCAGACCTAAGCCAACCCGGGTCAACGCACCTTAACTTGGGTCAAACCTAAGCCAACCTGGGTCAACCCAACTTAATCCATGTCCAACCCAACTCAAAATCTAGCAAACCCAAGTCAACCTAAATCAAACTCAACTTAAAACAAGTTATCCTGGGTCTGATGCAGACCCAATTAGTTGAGTTATATCATATCATAACTCAATCTTGAGCTAACCTAAGCTAGAAACACAACTTACCTCTGCTCAACCTTAGTCCAAGTCTAATTCAAGACTAAGTGCATGAGTTATTTTATTCGTGTTATTGCATGTTTTATTTCATATGTTATTTCATGTTAAAAAATCTAATAAAAATAACAAAAAAAAACCTTTATAAATTAAATAAAAATAAGGGCGTAAGCCTCTTACAAGATGGTTTTCTCCATAAACATTAAAAATCAAATCTTAAACAAATTCAAAATTTAGAAAAACTCTGATTTCTCAATATGACTGACAAACCTAGGAGCTAAAACAAGACAAGAATTAAAATATTAAAATTCAAATGAACATCCAAAATACATTAAGATAAAAAATGAGAGCAACACCTATGTAGATCTGACATGAAAATTAAGTTAGCTAAATTAAGCACCAAACTGAGGCCACACACTTACCTCAGGTTAGTTTGAGTATATATGTCTGGTTAGGTACCCTTGTTGGTGCTAAAGACTATAACATACAAAATAACAAACTTTCCCTCTAATACTAGAGAGAATACCTTAGAATGAAGTAACCCATGGTTAGTAAGGAAGGTTTTTCATGCTGCTTCAAATCTACAAATCCTCCATGCTCCGAGATTTAAGAGGAATTTTATGGTTATGAGGCTAGTCATAGTCAACAAATACCAACGCCCCACAGACGAAAGAAAGTAATGAGCATCTTGGCTGGGTAGATTATTCCCAAAGTTTAGGTTAGTCCTCCTATAGAATTCCTTATAAAGTCTAGGGTTTCATTTCTCATCTAGAAATCCTTTCCTACCTGACTCCATCCTAAGCCTAGGGTTTCCAACCATTCTTGTCAGTTAAATCCAGTATCCTTGATTTATCTCTTGACTTCATTTGATTTGTTCAAACTTTCCAAAGTTGTCTAAGCTTATATCTTGGGATTTTTCCATGACACATCATCATCAAACTGTAAGTCATTTCCATTTGAACTTAATTTTTCCAATTTGGAACCTCCACTCATATCATGAAATTTTGATCTCTACAATTCAACTTATCGTATTAATCGAGAGTTTTATTTAGGGCTTAGGGCTCTGAAGTTGTAATTAACTACAACGCCTTGTCATTATAGAGAACAAGACTTCAGAATTAAAATAAACCTTATCTTACACCCATAAGATAAGGGAATAATCTTAGTTCTGTAGATCCATAAATCCCAAAGATTTCTCTTATCTGAGTGATTGAATCCATTCTATGATAATATTTCTATTTTTCAAAATAGTATGTTATTCTTTGAATGTTGTATTAAATCATTTAGATATAAATCTTTCAAGAGCTATGGTGGCCCCCAACAATAAAAAATCCCAACAACATCCATTGAATAGCTTTTTACATTCTTTTTCAAGCATTTTAGTGGCAGCTTAATTATTCCTTTGTTAATGCAAGTAAATTCCCCAATTCAGCTCAATTAGATCTCCTCTTAGAATCATGCTAAGTTAAATAATCTAAAATCCATCTTTGATTCCAAATTCAAGATGTTACTTGCATTCCTTTATCTTATTTTGTTAACATATACCTCCCTGAGCTTCTGCATCATAATTTAATGTAATAATGTGAATCTGGATATAACTTAGAGATAAAAATCTCATGAAAAGCCATCAGCGTATAGATTAGAAAAAGATGAAGCAGCAAATGCCATCCAAATAGAAGAAGCAAAAGGAGTGATTCAATTGGTACCAACATGGGCTACATGCTTAGTATGTGTTGTGGTTATTGTACAATCATCAACCTTCTTCACCAAACAAGGGAGCACCTTGGTATCCCAAAAAATCTTTCCATTTAACCAACGAACCAAACAGTCCTCTTTCAATAACTGTGGTTGGATATAAAAGTGTATTATTTGGGAAGCTACACATGGATATTCCATTCATTAATGCAATAGATTTTAAATTTCTTTAGGAAACTGCACATGGATATTCTATTCATTAATACATTACAATAAAAGTCAAAGGACCAATGTTAAGCTGATTAGAGAATGACATTTCATTTAGAAGCATCTCTATAGTAAGCTCCAATATATTTTGATCAACCTTCATAAGCACACCCTCCATGACTTTAGTAGGGGATTGCTATCAACCAATAACATATGGTTGTGGGCATAGTATCAATAAATTTCCATATGCAGCTTCGTAAACAAAATTAAAATCTACTGAATGAAATATCCATGTGCATTAATGAATGGAATATCCATGTGCAGCTTCAGATTTTAAAACCAAAATAAGAAGAAACTTCAATAAGCTCATGCTCAGGAACTATAGAAAATAAGCATAACTATATATGTCCATAGCTGTTTTAAATTAAAAAATTATTGAAAAGAACAAGATCAAAAGTAAGAAAATTTTAAATGAATTGAAAAAGTTCCAACACTTATTTGCTCAATCATTGCAGCTAGTGAAATTCTTCCATTCATTAAACTTATTAGTAAATGAAATGTTTTCCTCATTCAAGATGCATAGAAACACAAAATCTACCTCTACATCTGCCCATATCCAAGCCTACCGAAAACCAAGTAGTAAGATCTCTCATTTAGGATCTGACATGTGACTCACATTTAGACCAATAGCAAAGAATTGAAATAATGCATAAGAATTGAGTGGTCTGTATGTAAATGCCCCAATATATTTTGTATGTAACTGCATTGGAATTCATGTGCAAGTGCATATAAATTGAGTGGTATGCCCAATATATTTTTTTCAACAGAGCATACAAATTGAGTAGGAATTGAAGTGGTATGTGTGTAAATCCCCCATTGTGATTTTTTTCAATAGTGCATAGGAATTGAAGTGGTATGTATGTAAAAATGAAACAGATGCATCCAATTTCTCTAATTTCCACATGATCGTTCTTCTCACAATTGTAAGAAAGAATGAAAACTCTGCAATGATTCATCTGTTTTCCTCAAATAATTCACATCTCAACTCTCTCATTCTTCATTTATAACTGCACAAGTATGTCATTTTCGAAAACAAATTTTTTTAGCTGTTTCTGAAAAAATTATCATTCTGCCTCTGTGTATCATTTGTTTAAACAAGAAACATTATTATATTTCTTTTAACATCCCAAGCAATATTCCATGCTACTAACAATACAATTGAACCCAGATTTTTTGGTATAGTCAAATTTCCTAATTTTATTTTTAATCTTGTCCCTTTCATTAATTTACAACAAACATCATAAGAAATTCAATATCAATATATTTCTTGCTTTTTTATATTCAGCCGTTTAATGAATGATATATATTTGTGATAGTGATATATATTTTCTTTTTTATATACAATCATTTAATTAATTACATTTATTAAGCCTCACTCCTTTTCATCTCTCCTCTCATGATCTTTGTGACGAGATTAACTCTGTCTTTCTATATCTCACATTCATATCTTCTTCTAATATTTTTCCTCTTTTTTTTTCATTTAAATTAATAATTTAGATTTTTATTCACATTCCACAAATCTTAACCCAAAATCATAAACCTTCATAGGTCCCCTTCTGTTCCAAAGCCGCACCAAGAAGGGGAGAAAACCCCCTAGAACGATTTCAGATGAGTACTTGAAAAAGAGTAAATTTCATATTCATGACGGGCATCCAATCTATTCCTACAATAATCATAAGAAGTACGATTTCGGATCACCCTAATTTCCTCCTTGTAAAAATTACAACTTTTAAAATAGATTCAAAGTATATAGAAGGAATAACACTTGAGACGAAGATATAAACATTGACAAGGTATCTTAGAGAAATTACAAAGTCGATTCTAAGGGCAAGGGGACTGATCAAGCTTGGTAATACGATCGTCATTTTCAACGTAGCCAAAAGGAGAAGTCAAGCTTACCCGACGAGGGAGGTGCTGACGCTGAGATGAGGACTCCTCAAGATTGAAACCAGAGGTTTTCCGGACTCGATGGACCGGAGCTCCTCCTCAGCGTTTTCGTTCCAATCAGAATCAAAATCTATAGAAGAAATGAATGCAAGAGAGCAAGGGGTCGAGGGTAGAGGGGTAATAGGTGTGCTTTCAATACAAATTTTCATGTTCTAGGAAAATATTTGCATACGGACTAAACACGCAGAGCTGCATGCATAATAACCTCTGCTTCATGGTTATTAGGGGATATTACGAGGTTATTGAGGTATTAATTTCAATAACATAAAATCTAGTAACATTCCAATAATTTTATGGTTATATTTTAATATTATTCATAATTTATTGTGAGAATATTATAGGGTTAATGAATTCAGCATGCAAATATTTCTCCATGCTCAAACCAAAGGCTTCATCTACACTGCAGTGCCGGACCTCCTCCCCGAAAAGCACCCATAGTCTACTCGTCTCGACGACTAGGATTCGGCATCGGCTCGCAGTTTCAGTAGTGCAGGCTGCTTCTCAGATTCCCACCTCGCCCTTCCTCCGTTCCACCTCTCCCTTCTTTCTATAAAAAGGTGTCTTCCTCAACCCCCGTCCACCTTTTGCTTCGTGCTCGCCTTCCTAAAGCCCACGCTGCCACCTTCCCCTCTTCCCTCCGCTTCATCTTCTTGGCCCCGTCCGCTCGTCTTCCAGCGAATTCTCTGCGCCATTAGCCTAGTATTCGTGCCCTTACGGAGATTGGGGCTCTCAAACGCTACTGAAATGGGGAATCTCTTCTCTCAGAACTGTAGGAAAAAACATGTCGATAGGTTCTCTATGAGGGAGCCCAAGAAATTTGTGGCGGAGCATTCCTCCGCTATGGGGGATGATTGGGAATTCAATCGGGCTATCGGGGAGGAATTTTGCGAGAAGATTGAAGCTCCTGCGAACATGCTAAAACTGCAGAATATCCCTGGGTTATGGGAAAAGGTAATGTTGGTCCATGAAAGGGAGGGCAAACCGGAGGATATAGGTTTCTATTATGTTGCTCCGCCTTTTTTAATTTCCTTTTGAATTTGGATATTTAGAACTTTCAAACATATGCGTGTTTTTACATTTTTTTTTTCACTTGGGGGCGCTGAAATGCTTTTAGAAATGTTTGATATCTTCTTCTAGGACCTTATTATGATGATGATTGTTTTCTGATTAATGCATGAAGCTCAAGGAGACTACCCATTTTTCTTTATTCCTGTTCATTTTAATTCATGCTTTTTAAGAAGAATTTATAAAAATTTCCCTCTAATTTATTTAACAGGTTTCTGTTAGTTTCCTTTCAGTTATAAATAAGAAAAGTTACAGGATGTTTGGTGTTTGATGTAGAGTTAATTTCTTCTTCAAATTCCCTTTATAAATCCTTGATCATATCTCTGAAAATCTGAAGAAGATTTTGTCTATATCTGTTGCCTTATTCAAGTCTGTTGAACCCAAATTTGTTCTTTGATTCCTGCCCAAGAAGTAGAGCGCATAAGCCGAGGAAAGGAGAAAGAAAATGAGAGAGAGAGGAAGAGATACCCTGTAGTCGTAAAGAAGGGTGTTCCCTGGCTCTCTGTCCTCTTTTATTCCACACAACCTAAAGATTACATGTAGGAAGAAAGGATGAGTTTCCTTTTAGATGGGGTTTGAGAGAGAGAACCTAGGGACCCACCCCTTTTTACATCTAAGGGTCCTCTATTTATAGAGAGATAAAGAGGGGAAAAAATATTTCATTTATGCCCCTGCTTTAAGAGGTATCCTGATTTTTTTCCTACGTAGATCTGTTTCCCTGGAGCGTTCTTGTTGATGGATTCATCGGCATCAGTTGGCTGGTCAAAGTGGCCGACCTTCAGCGGTCGGCCTCCGGTGGCCGACCCTTGGTGGCCAACTGGCTGGGTATGGCCAGCCAGAGTGGTTGGTGTAGGTGCCAACAACAATCTCAGAAATGACTTTCCTTCAGCTCGGCAAGGAACTATTTTTTCGGCTATACATAATGCTCCCGATTTTTTTACTTCCTGGAAGCAAATTTGCGGTAAGAATGAAAAACTCATAAGTACAGAAAATAAACTTCCATAAACCTCTAGCTCGACTTGGTTTCATAACAGTTCTTTCATTGGCCTTGGATGAGTAGATTTTATAAAAGATTATTCCCCGAAGAGAGGCTTTGTTCTCTCGTTCCAGAGAAGAGATTTTGACTACTCGTCCCAGAGGATATTTTTTTGTGCTCTTTCAGGAGGAGAGGCGTTGTTCGCTCGTCCCAGAGGACAGGCGTTGTTCGCTCGTCCCGCAGGAGAGGCATTGTTCGCTCTTCCTGAAGGAGAGACTTTGTTCGCTCGTCTTGGAGGGGAGACTTTGTTCGCTCGTCCCGGAGGAGAGGCGTTGTTCCCTCGTTCCGAAGGAGAGGCGTTGTTTGCTCGTCCCGGAGGAGATTCTTTGTTTGCTCTTCTCGAAGGAGGGTTTGTTTGCTTGTCTCAGAGGAGAGTCTTTGTTCGCTCGTCTCGGAGGAGAGTCTTTGTTCACTCGTCTCGGAGGAGAGTCTCTGTTTGCTGGTCTTGGAGGAGAGTCTTTGTTTGCTCATTCCGAAAGAGTCTTTGTCTGCTCGTTTCGGATGAGAGGTTTTGTTCGCTCTTCCCCGAGGAGAGTATTTATTCGCTCGTCCCGAAGGTGAGGCTTTGCTCGCTCGTCCCAGAGGAGAGGCTTTACTCGCTTATCTCGGGGGAGAGGCTTTATTCGCTCATTCAGGAGGACAGTCTTTGTTTGTTTATTACGGAGAAGAGTCTTTGTTCACTCGTCCAGGAGGAGAGTCTTTATTTGCTCGTCCCGAAGGAGAGTTTTTGTTTGATTGTCCCGGAAGAGTGTTTTTGTTTGCTCGTTTCGGAGAAGTTTTGTTCGCTCTTCCCCGAGGAGAGTATTTGCTCGCTCGCCCCGGAGGTGGCTTTGCTCGCTCTTCCCGGAGGAGAGGCTTTGCTCGCTCATCCCGGAGGAGAGGCTTTGCTCGCTCATCCCGAAGGAGAGGCTTTGCTCGCTCGTCCTGGAGTAGAGGCTTTATTCACTCATCCTTGAGTAGAGGCTTAAATGAAGAGATAGAATATATTTATCTTTTTTCTTTCTTTCTTTCCCTCTTTTTTATTTTTTTCTTTATTTAAGAAAAGTAAATTAGGTAAAGAAAAAATACTTATGTTTTTGTTCCTTCGTGAAGGATCCTTTTTCTCTTGGTAAGTGAGAGACTTTTCCTTCTCTTCTCTCTTTTATTTTTTATTTTATTTTATTTTATTTTTTTTGTTTTTTGGTCTTGTCACTTACCTTTTAGTATTCTCATGTCCCTTCATCTTTTATGTCTTATCATCTATTTTGTATTCTTCCCATATTTTCTTCTTCTTCTTTTTATTTCTTTGGTTTGGGATTTTTCCAGCTCGAAAGGCTCTTCTTGTTGGCGACACGTTCTACTCTCACCACATCTTGTAAGGTGTTGAACCCAAATTTGTCCTTTGGTTCGTGCCCAAGGAATAGAGCTCAGAATCCGAGGAAAGGAGAAAGAGAAAGAGAGAAAGAGAGGGAGAGTTGCCCCGTGGGGGGCAAAGAGGGGTGTTCCCGTTCTCTTTGGCCTCTTTTATTCCACACAACCTGAAGATTACAAGTGGGAAGAAGGGAAGAGTTACCTTTGACAAGGGGGTTGAGAAAGAGAGAGCCTATGGACCATTTTTTTATATCTATGGTCTTATATTTATAGAGAAATAAAGAGGGGAAAAATATTACATTTATGCCCCTGTTTTAAGGGGAGTTTTGAGGGTAATTGTGGTTTTTTTCTTTTCTTAGATCTGTCTCCCTGGAGCATTCTTGTCGCTGGATTCATCGACATCAGGTAGCCCGCCCAAGGGGTCGGCCTTCAGTGGTCGGCCCTTGGTGACCAGTTGGGTATGGCCATTTAGGGTGGCTAACGTAGGTGCTGACGATGGCTTCGACAATGACGAGGGCCTATTTGGCTATACAAAGTCTAAAATTTAGTTGATTTGTTTTCTAAACATCCCAACATATTCTAAGGAGTCTATTTTATCTTTTTAGGAGCTATCCTCCTATTTTTCTTCTTCTATTCATTTCCTTATAACTGCATGGTAAAACAATGACTCAAATGCTCTCTGTTTATGCTTTGAAGAAGTGGAAGTCTCGATCACAATAACTATATTGATCGTCGATGAATATTTCTTGAAGGATGTTAATGGATCCTTAGGTTGGTTAGAGCTGTCCATCGACATCGAGGTTTCTAATTTTTTGGTTGGCATCAAATTGAAGGCAATGATGGTGCTACAAGGCTAATTAATGTAGCAGTCTATTTAAAGATGATGCTAGTGCACTGAAAGTTAAGGCTTAGAGTCTAGAGTGGTGATTGAAGGTGGTCGATGACTTTGAAGATTATTTTATTTGATGAAGTGCATGTGATGGCTTGATTGTAGAGCATATTGTGGCTCTTGGCGAGTCCTCTGTGCTGGCAATGGGAATGTTGGTGGTCAGGTTCCTTGATGAGAAGCACGCTCACATTGTCGAGCGTGTAGGAGGCACTAGGATGGCTACGGACCAATGAGTAGGTGTAAGGGATGTTGCGTTATCATTTGTTGCATATTGTCGATCAATTCTTGATCAAGAAGGTCGACGACTATTCTTGCCGGTTTGAAGTTGATGAGTGAAAAAGGAGATGATCTGTGACTATTTTTATTTTGGTTCATTAAGGTGAAATATGCATATGCATATCTACATGTATATCATAGGTTTAAAAAGCCTATAATTAGAATTGAGGCAATTTACTCAATTAAGTTAAAATATTGGTTTCAAATCAAATTGAGGTATAGGTTTCAAATTAAAAACACAAAAAAAATTAATTTATGAAAACTAACACACAAAACTCATCAAACCTAACCTTATTTTATAGAAGACATAATAAGAAAACATAAATAATTTAAAAAACTAAATAGACTCTTAGAATTTAGAAAATATAAAGACTAGTGACCTAGGATAAAACTAGATTTTCTAACTTATTTTTTATGACCTAAAAATTAACAGCATCATTGTCATCGTTTTGGTTTGTTTTTCTGAAGAGTCATCATGATCTTTAATAGCTTTGTCGTTCTTCTCATTACTCTTATATCTATCATTTCATCAATCCTTTCTCATTCAACTATATCTCTTTCTTTTTTTCTGCATCAAGATTATTATAATAAGTACAATCACAATAATAAAAATTTAAATAACATTTTATTTAGTGCTGTCACATAGTCTTATGAGATTGAGCAAGATGCTTCTTTAGTCTTTATACACCTGTCGTAATTTTGTTATAAAAATTACATGTGATATACATTTAGCCTTTCTTTTCTTTTTTGTGTTTAATTTAATTTGAGTCCTAAACTTTCATTCAATATCTTTTCCCATAACCCCAAATTTTGCTATTATGGTTTGAAGTTCTACAATTGTGGTGAAGCATTGATTCTAGGTAGTCTAGAACATGATAAGGATTGCAAAAATATAGTTGTGAAATTATAAAAATAGTATTAATTCTACAAACTATGAAGAAGAAAATAAATTTAGAGAAAGAAAAAAAAAAGAAGAAAGGATTAGCTCAAGCCTAAAATTGGAAATAAAATTATTTTTTGTTAAGAAGAAAGAAAATTAAAAAGAGACAGAAAAAAAGAGAGTTGTTGCCGCATTGAACTAAAATTAACTCTGAGAAAAAGAAAGGAAACTGAAAAAAAATAAAATAAAATAAACGGAAGGACTAAAGGAGTAAAGGACTGATCTCATTGAAGCTTGAATATGGCTGGTGGTAAAAGCTTAAACTTGTTTTAGATACCAACAATAGCCCCAATTGCACCTATTTCCACTCCACTTCTAGTCCTTGAAGTTCCAGCGCTCTTATTGACTCTCCTTAAATTATAGGGGGGACATTGACAAACAATCGGGATCAATAG